AAAAGCATTCTCTCATTTTAATGTGCATCAAACAGGCTCTGAATTAAAAGTGAGTTTGAGAAAAAAATGCTTTTAAAAAAATCACTTTCAAACAAGAGTTTAATATGGAACAGCGTATTATTGGTTTGTCGAGTCATCCCCGCTTTTATAATGTCGACTTTTGGAATTACTTTGTTTTTTTTTTCCTTCCAAGAAACAAAACTTTACAAAAAAAAGTAATTAATCGAGAAATAAATAGAAAGCGAAACTCTGAATTGCTCTTGCACTTATCTTATTCGAAATCAAATTGGGAGTGTTACAACAAATTTCTGTTACGTAGGCATTGAAGAGCACTGTGAACGTAGAAATTGTCATAACAAATTATTTGAGAGTTGTATTCCTTTGATTTCAAGGTTTTACATGACAACAAACTTCATTAAAATTTGAGAGCATGTTTGGACAAGTTTAAAATCCACTTAAAATTGAAAATATAGTCGTTATTGGGTCTCACTCGTCTAATAAAAGGCAACAATAATGACTAATTTTTCGATTTTAATCTCTACCGAACACGCCCTGAATATATGGAACCTAGGTCCTTGTCCCTCTTGATCAACCAACAAAAACGACTCATCGATCAGTCTGTAGTGCTCGTGACTCATTTATCTGGTTTATACATCATACAAGTTTGCTTTTGATTATTTTTAGATTCATAATTAGAAAATGAATATTATATCTTGTAAGGCAGTTTTGGGTTTTGGTATTGTCACAAAATTGCTCTATCGTTGAGAGTAAATTCTCTATTTATTCATGTAGTTTACATCTTTTGGGTTGCCTTGAAAAATAGGAGTTTAATGCATGTTTGATTCGACTAAAAAATTGATTAAAATCTAAGTTAATGTCTATAATCAATTTTAATCACATATTTCATAGACAACACATTTCATCAACTTTTATTAAAATCTACTAAAATATAAATNAAAATTGATTAAAATCTAAGTTAAAATTAACAATTAACTTTTAACCACACATTTTATTAAATACTATGTACATATAAGGACGTCTCGTATATCGTGTAATGCGTTGTGACAACAAATATTTGTTCATAACATATCTCATCAAAATATTCGTGGCAAATTATCAAAAATTTCGACACATTTTTCAATACATAGTTTGAGAAACTCATTGTATCTTAATATTTTGCAACAATGTAAGTTATGTAATGAAACATAAAAAACTTGTTCGCGTGAAACCCGCAAGCGTACGAGATCGTTGTACAAGTAATAAGATTTGTGAGTTAAGAGTATCGTTCCCACGAGAAATAAGGTCTAATTTGTAGTTCAATAGCTGCTATTAAATTCGAAGTGTGATAATA